GAGCAGCTTATGTACTATTGAAATTTGAACAAATATTCAAATGATTTTATAACTCTTCACTTGTAGAGAGCTCTTTTCAAACAGTAGAAATTACAAAAATTTATAAGAAATAACAAATTTAGATCAATTAACGAGGAAAATTCGAGATGAGCACGAGTTTTTACACTTTCCGAAGCAATAACTTGCTTCATTTTCGTCAAATTCGAAAAGTTAATACGTCATACAAACTAGAAGATTTTCTCTATCAAACGGTTGCTAAAGCAGCTTCATACGTCCAGTATTCAAAAATGGCCACGTTGAGGATTTTTGCAAAATTAACGAGGAAAATTCGTGATGAGTGCGAGTTTTTACGCTTTCCAAAGCCATAACTCCGTTCAAACTCATCCAATCTGAAAAGTTAATACGTCATCATAAACTAGAAGATTTGCTCTTTCAATAGGCACTAACTGCTAAATACGTTCACTATTTAAAAAATGGCCACGTTGAGGATTTTTGCCCGAGTACCGCCGAAAGGTACTTTTTCGCTATTAGCACTATTTCAACGACTATAGCTCCTTTCAGGAGGCGATTACATACTAAAGTAGGAGCAGATTCGGAATCCTCGTGCTTTTCTCTTTCCAAAAAGTGTAAAATTGTTTAGCGTTCTCAACTTTAAAGGTTACATGCTTGTGAATTTGACGCTGAAGGCTGCGTTTCTTGTTGAATAGTGTACTCCTCCCTGTAATTTCACATGAACCCTTTCAGAATCCTCTTGATTTTCCTGAATTGAGATTCTTTCTCCAGAGAGCCGTAGCTGAAGCGCGCGCAACCAACTGGGCCCACTCTGGGATGCGCCGTGTGCTTCACATCCCTTCAGATTCGAGGACTCACTTGAAAGATAAAATATCCCTTGGAAAACGTGCGAATTTCGGATTCTTTAACTTGTGTGGTGATAAAACACTGAAGTAACTAAGAATTACCGGACGCCTCAGAATCACGAAAATTTTGTGTGGGTGGAATATCATTGTTATTGGAAATCCTCTGGCCTGGCATCGACTCGATCCTTGATGTTTGTCCTCCGACGGTGATGATCCTACTGCATCAATCCGGCCCGATCTCTTCCCCCAGCGGGCCAATACGACCCCCCCCCCTGTGACATGTCGAGGATTCCTCAACGCACGCTTGACCCTGAGCGGCACCCACCGATGAATGCCACTCAGGGACAGGCGCCAAAGGGTTAAGAAACGGTGGAGCTCGAATGGCTACGCTTCGTGATGTTGTTTTCATGACTATGATAACACTCACACGGCTATATAAACACCAATCGAGCAACTCAGTCTCATTCTACATGGTGCTGCCGTGGCAGCCGGAGGGGAGGGCAGGAGGGGGTGGGGAAGGCAGGGGATGGGCAGGAGGGGGAGGGGGAGGAAAGAGGAGGGAGTGCATCGCTTTCAGGAATACGGTTCGATTCGGTGTTGAGTTTTATTGCAACGTGATTGCGATAATCAAGGCTATATAAACACATACTTAGTACACCTTTCAGTCATTTTACAGGTGCTGCAGTGGCAGGGGAGACCAGTGGGAGGGAGGGGGAGGAGGGGAGGATAAGGCAAGAAGGAAGAAGAGCAAGCTTCGCAGGAAAGGTCCGACGGTTGCGGGGGACCAATCTGGTGAAACATTAGGTTGGAACAGTTGAAATGTCGCTTCCGTTTGTGCCTTTGTTTCTCAGCTTAAACACAATCTCTTAGGATGGGAGACCATTCATTCGAAAGAGCGATTCAGCACGCATATTGCGAAATCTTAGGCGCCACTGAGCGGATGTTCTTCGAGCCAAAACTTTTGCTCGAAGATGACTGATCAGAAATCATCGTCTGAGCGTATATATTCAAGCAAGAAAAACGGCCAACGAATCCCACTCATTGTGTGCAAAACATTGAGCAGTAACACTTAGTCTCTGATGCACTTTCAGCTATGGTTTCAGCTCTTCCAAGACTGAGGTAAAGGACCTGGCAACGAAGATCGTGGATTGTGATCTCTAGCTTAATTATGTATTTATTTATTTATTTTCATACGTCCAGTGGACGCGCTCATAAGGTATACGGAGTATATTCAAATAGAAATACTATCAGTCGCGAAAAGGGCAGCAGTCGTCCTCAGTTGAGTTACAGCAATTAATGATATGTTAACGACTGACTTAACCAATTTGTGAGAGACAAAAACGAGAGAGGGGCATGTTCAAAAGATCCCTTGAGTATTGTTTGAACTCTGGGTCATACACTAGGTTGATCAGTTGGATTTATGTACAGACATTGGAAGTAACAAAGAGCATTGCCATGAGCCATAAGGTTAGTGCCTCAAAGATAACCCTACTGCGAGGCCGCAGCCCTACTAGGGCGGGTGCAGAAACACCTCTTTGATCTAAATACGAACCCTAGGAGCTGGCTCGGGGGCGCTTGTGAGGATAGCTAACCATGCGATGCCATAACTTGGGCTCATTTTGAGAATGGCTAATAGGCTTTGAATGAATTCGGTAGATTTTAATCAAGTTGGATCAACAGCTAGTGTATGAACACAACCCTTTAGATATTTCACTATTATATTTCATTACCATTGAATGGTATAAAGTTGATTTGAAGATTACTGAGAGACTGCAATCCCTTTTGCTCACAACGCTAACATAATCGTTAATAATATACAGTGAAACAGATAGCTAGAGCGAATTTTACACTTTCAACAAATATCAAGAAACACGAAGAACGTGAGTCTTTTTAATTGCTCCTCTGAACTTGTCGAAACTATCGCATGCTGGCTGGTAGCTGTATGTATGTCTGTAAGATGACGGAGAAATAAAGAAAGCCAACAAATTGAGCCCTCGACAAAACCGCACAAAACTTGCATTGAGATTCAGTTGTGTCAACAGAAAAATTTAAAGTTCCTACGTGCGACTGTTAAGGCCTTTCAGGATAGAAAATGGGTTTGGCCTATTCTGAGCGACGCGAGCAAGCAGTACTGGTTGCCAATACTGGAACTTCGCTCCATAACTTCAAGAGGAAAAAGGTTCTTGACTTCGTGTTGACCGCATTTTACAAAGAGATGTTTCCCAATAACAACGCGAGAAGACGACCGTGGTTGGCGGCTGATGGACAGCTGAGGGTGACTTCGAAACCAGACATCCACGGAAACAAAGTCATGTTTTTATATGGTGATATAGTATAGCAACGGTGTACCACGGAATGCTGATTGTGGGTTATACAGTTACAGCTGAACTCTGCGTATCAGCTCCACCACGTGGGCCGAGCTCCTGCGTCGTCAAAGGGTAATTTCGGCCTATGGAATATTATGGCACGATCGAGGAGTTGGGCTGGGACGTACTACCTCCGGCGCCATATAGCCCAGGTCTGGCGCCGTCCACTATCACTGACCCAGGTCAGCGCAACACTCCTTAGCAGCAAACCAATTCGATAACCGCGACGACGTCAAAATTTGAGTGCCCAACTTCTTCGAGTCGAACCAGAAAGAGTTCTACGCGGTAGGCATCCATGCTTTGCGTAACGAAAGGTGATGAGCCTGTGACACAGGTGAAGGAGATGGTTCAGGTTGATGTGCTTCATTATTGTTTTTATAATGAAAATAATTGATGATCGAAAACGACGTTTCAACTGTTCCAACCTAATGTGTAATAGTGATGCGAGTATCCGTATAATCCAGCTCATAAAAGAACTTGAAATCTTGGGAAAAAGTTCATTCAAGTAGGCGTGTTCCGGATGAACTCGTGCACGTGGCTTATATCGGAATGTATGTCGAAGGCAACATTACGACACACTGATCATCTTGCGGCAGTAGGATTGTATACACTCGTATGCATTCAAATCTTTCGGTTGCAACCATAGTGCCTGGTGCATTGCAGATCAATATGCAGAGCTCCATGAAGTGAAATCAACATTTGCTTCACTTTCTGTGACCTTTGTGAATGTAGTACAACGGAAAAACCAGAAAGGCGCTCCCCTAATTTTTTTGAACTTTAAGGACGACTACCATAAGTACTAGGCTTTAGATGAATCAAACATAGACACGCATCGAAAACACAAAGGACAAAAGGCTCAGAGTAAATCCATCGGTGTGGAAAGGACGGAAGGATAATTTGAA